ATTTTGACTCCAAAAATCAAAACATAGATTTTTGAATATAGGTAATAGCCGAAAAACCCAAAAAGGTTTTTGAGTTTCGAAAAAAACGGGATGTAGGTATGTGATAATTCCTATCTATCGCCTCCTATCCACATACCAAATTTGAGATCGATAGGCCTCTTTTTTCGCCGAGCACAGTAGCGGCGGAACACCTTCGATTAACCCGCGCCCTGCTGGGGGGGGGGGGGTGTTTGAACACCCCCTTATGGTTTTTTGCAAATATCTCAAAAACGGTTTTTGGTACACCTTATCAAACATCAATTCTACACATGTTGTGAAAATTTCAGACCAAGGTCATTCAAGGTCAGGTCACCAGGTCACTTGAAGTGACCTCACCTCATAAAAAGTTTCAATGTCTGTCATGGCTACACCGAGTGACCGATCGCTTTGAAACTTTCAGCGATTGCTAAGAGCAATAGCATGTACAAAATGTATATCTCAGAATTTTGATATCGATGACCTAAGGTCAGGTCAATTTTGCGACCTCCCCATTATCCCGCGCACCGACAGGGGTCTGCGCCAACTTAGTACCGACGGGGGGGGGGGGGGCGGATGACCGCCCCCCCCCCTGAGATCTCGAGAACGAAGCAAGATAGCGACAAGCGGTAAAAGGCATCGGATACGCACGGCCAAGATCTACAATTTTTACAAAGGTCATTTTCAGGTCAGGTCAAAGATGACGTCACAGGGGTCGAAAAAGTCAAAATGGCGGCGCTGAATATGGAGAGAGTTTTTCTCGAATAACTTTCGAATTAGTCAAGATAGGAACAAACTAAGGGCATCATCGTGATCCTCTCGTCAATCCGCATCGAATGATATATATGTTGACCTCGAAAGGTCAAGGTCAAAGGTTGACCTCAGGTCACGTGACCTCGAGGTCATCATGTATATCATTCGATGCGTCTTGACGAGCTGAACACAATGAGACCATCCACGCGTCTGTATCTTGTTCCTGTACGGAGTTATTGGCCAAAAACCTTTGGTGACCTTTGATGACGTCACATGACCTCACAGCTGCCCAACAGCAAAACAGACCTCAAGGTAGTGAAGGTTGATCGTATATGAAGTCATGTATTGTATATGGGGCCATTCCGACCCGTTTTAGTGGTAAAAACAGGGAGTTGATTTTTCCCCCATTGACTTATAATGGGGAGGTCGCGAAATTGACCTGACCTTAGGTCACCGATATCAAAATTCCGAGATATACAAATTGTAGCTACTAATGACCTAATAACATCCTGCGACTTTCAAAAGCCTCCGACATCTACTGTAGCTCTGGCACGGTGACAAAGTTGCAAAAAAGTGACTTGAGGTTGGGTCATTCAAAGTGACCTGGTGACCTGACCTTGAAAGGTAGGAGGTTCAAACTTGCACACCATGTGTAAAATTGATAAGGGAATAGTCATACCAAATTTCGCGGCGCTACGCGCCGCGGTTTTCCCGCTATTCGCGAAAAACCTCAGGGGGGGCGGATATCCGCCCCCCCCCCCCCCGTCGGTGCGCGGGTTATAAGTCAATGGGAGAAAATTGAAATGCGCCTCTTTTGGACGAAACTATTATAAACACTCCCAAACATCGAATTATAAGTGGTTTAGACACACTGAACATGAAAATGGTGTCCGTGACCCTTGTTTATGCCCTGAGGTCATCTTAGGTCACGAATGGTTTCTAACAGTTTTTCGCAAATAACTTTTGATAGAGGCATGCTAGAGCGATGAAAACGCCTTAGATGTGTTCAGCTCGACGATACGGATCGACTGATATGCAACATGACCCTTTCCGGTCAGGTCATGACCTTGACCTGAGGTCAAATTTTCAAGTTGACCTTTCAAGGTCAAGTTATAGTTTATTCGATGCGTCTTAACGAGAAGAACACGATGCCGGTGAAAGTAAGCTCGTACAAGGCTTGGGTCAAAAGTTATTGCAGAAAAACTTTCCGAAAAAATCGGCTATTTTTGCAGTTTTTGCCCCCTGCGGGCAAAACCGTTGAAGTTAGGTCAAATCTGAGAGAATTACTCAGAAAGGGTGTTAACCCGCGCCCGGCTGGGGGTCCTGGATTTCCACGCCCTGCTGGGGGGGGGGGGGTGTTTGAACACCCCCCCCCCCTTGTAACTCGGCTCCTGGGCCACGTAGCGATACGCGGAAGGCGGCGTTCGAAAGAGCGTCAAAAATAATGACGAAATCACTTCGGTCACTTTTTTGGTCAGGTCAAAGGTCAGGTCACCAGAGGTCAATGAAGGCAAAATTTCGCCGATTTCCAGGTCGAATGTCGAAAATTTCCAAGAAGCCAACGCATAACTCGGGAACCAATAGAGCTACAGCGCCGAGGAAAAGCGCATTCGATAGCCCTATTAACGCCCTTTCTGAGTAATTCTCTCAGATTTGACCTAACGTCAACGGTTTTGCCTGCAGGGGGCAAAAACTGCAAAATTAGCCGATTTTTTCGGAAACAGTTTTTCTGCAATAACTTTTGACCCAAGCCTTGTACGAGCTTATTTTCACCGGCATCGTGTTCCTCTTGTCAAGACGCATCGAATGAACTATAACTTGACCTTGAAAGGTCAACTTGAAAATTTGACCCCAGGTCAAGGTCATGACCTGACCGGAAAGGGTCATGTTGCATATCAGTCGATCCGTATCGTCGAGCTGAATACATCTAAGGCGTTTTCATCGCTCTAGCATGCCTCTATCAAAAGTTATTTGCGAAAAACTGTTAGATACCATTCGTGACCTAAGATGACCTCAGGGCATAAACAAGGGTCACGGACACCATTTTCATGTTCAGTCTGTCTAAACCACTTGTAATTCGGTGTTTGGGAGTGTTTATAATGTCTTTCATCCAAAAGAGGCGCATTTCAATTTTCTCCCATTGACTTATAATGGGGAGGTCGCAAAATTGACCTGACCTTAGGTCATCGATATCAAAATTCTGAGATAAACATTTTGTACATGCTATTGCTCTTAGCAATCGCTGAAAGTTTCAAAGCGATCGGTCACTCGGTGTAGCTATGACAGACATTGAAACTTTTTATGAGGTGAGGTCACTTCAAGTGACCTGGTGACCTGACCTTGAATGACCTTGGTCTGAAATTTTCACAACATGTGTAGAATTGATGTATGATAAGGTGTACCAAAAACGGCGGCGCTCCGCGCCGCCGTTTTTGAGATATTTGCGAAAAACCACATGGGGGGTGTTCAAACACCCCCCCCCAGCAGGGCGCGGGTTAATAGGGCTATCGAATGCGCTTTTCCGCGGCGCTGTAGCTCTATTGGTTCCCGAGTTATGCGTTGGCTTCTTGGAAATTATTTTCGACATTCGACCTGGAAATCGGCGAAATTTTGCCTTCAATGACCTCTGGTGACCTGACCTTTGCCCTGACCAACAAATTGACTGAAGTGATTTCGTCATTATTTTTTACGCTCTTTCGAACGCCGCCTTCCGCGTATCGCTACGTGGCCCAGGAGCCGAGTTACAAGGGGGTGGGGTGTTCAAACACCACCCCCCCCCCCCGCCGGGCGCGGGTTAAGGGGAGGGCACTGCCGACTTTTGGTCCCATTTTTTCCATGTAACGCCTATAGGGCTAATGTTAAAATATCAAAATCAAAGGGGGGCACGGTGCCCCGGTGGCAAATTCCCAATAGTGCTACACGCTACGCACAGCCCGGGCGGGTGACGTCACGGTGTCGTCACTCGCGCCCGGGGCATGCGCATGGGGGGCCCGCTCGGCTCTGGCTCAGAGAGATCTGCACGGCCGATGGGAGCGGGTTCCGAGATGTGCACGGCCGATGGGAGGGCTCGAAGACCACTGCTCTGATGCCTTTAATGGTCAACTAAGTAGGTACACTGCGAACGATTTATCGGGTATATCCGACGCAGAAGTTGCGGCGAAAGAACCAGAGGCTGTTGCGTCATGCAGCATTATGGTAAACGAAATGTGTTCTGCTCGTGCGAGGGTTTAGAGTTGTGGCTTGGTGGAACAGATTCCTGTGCCCATCGCCACTTGCTAGTAGTCTGAAGCTGTTCAGAGTAGTTGAGGTAGAAGGACAGTAAATTTCAAGCCAGTTTCTGAACTCTTCTCGGGTTTTGACGTTACATCTCAAAGTCAAGGTTGAGGTATCATCTTTGCAGTTCACGTCGACGGTCAATGTTTGAAAAGCCTGAAGATTCAAATTTTTTCCGAAAAAAACACATCCTTTTCCATCTTGCACCATAGGTACAGAAACAACACCACCCACAAATCCAACACAAATTACAGTCTAATAGGTGTAACACCAACACGGCCTTCAAATCCAACATCCAGCGCACTCGGCTAAGGCCATCAATCAAGGCCGTAATAGGCCCTTGAATTCGCGCCTTAGGTCCGCGTGTGATTCGTGCATAGACTCGTATATTGTCGTCATATCCCCACCTCGTCTGACTATTGGCTGATGGATGTGACGTCACATAACCCCCAGGCCAATGAGCGTGGGCGTCAGGTTATGACGTCATCTCCCGCGAAAACCAGCCAGTCAGCGCTGGAGGTGCGTAGCGTGTAGCATTATTGGGAATTTGCGCCCCGGTGCCCTCCCCGTTCCGCCGCCTATGGCCGAGCAATTTTTTATTAGCTATGGCCGTACGAAAATCCAGTCGGCTGCAATTTTAGATACCTTTCTCGCCAATTTACATCAGTTTTCCGAAGCAATGTCAATGTTACAGCTAGAGTGTTGTGATGCGAAGCATTACTAGCCTTATACGACCAGTGATGTTGTCCAGTGTCCACAATAAGTAAAAAGTTGGGGTAGTTCCCCACTATCCCGCTGATGTCACTCGTTAGCGGTCTCTCCGTGTCTGAGTGTCTGTGACCGGTCACGTCTGGACACTCGATGATCGCCCGTGTGTCGATTTATCAGCCACTCCAGACAGCTGACCCGACCCTATAGCCTATGTCACGCCCTAGCCCCCAATTGAGACGCCAAGCCCTGGGTTCACAACTGTGCGAGTAGGATCGCTCCGTTCCGCCCGCCGGGCCGGCCGGCGCAGACTGGTGGGGGCGGGGCGGCGGCTGGGCGGCCGGCGACCGGGCCAGTCGCCCGTCGGCCGCGGCGGCGTGAGGTGGGGTCTGCGGGGTGTGCAGCGCCAGCGCTGTGCCGGGAGCGGGACGGTTGGAGCTGCCTGTGGCTGGATTTGGACGGTGAGTCAGGCGGGAATATTCAGTGGGTTGACGTGACGTGACTGTGCATTTTTAGCCGCGCCTCGGGGTGGTAACGGAAGGAGCCGCCGCGGCCTTTGAAGCCTTCTTCTGCATTCATTGGCCATTGGGTGATGCAACGGTGGTGCAGCCTGCCGGTAACCGTTTTTCGACTCCTTTGGTGGGGCTCACTAAAATCGGGTTACCTCGGGATCTGGCTCTAACGGTTGTATTGGCGCTACCACGCGGCTGAGTGCTGCAGAAGCGCTCTCTCGGACTGGACCGCAGACTCGGGAGTCTCCCATTTCGGGCCCCCTGTCCACTCGCACCCGTCGGTGTGACCTTGTATCGGGCTGTGTCCGCCCGAGCCCCTTTCCTTCCCGTGCCGGTGTGTGGCTTCCTTTCCCGACGACCGGCCGCCTCAGTGGGGGGTCGGGGAGGGGGAGGGTGGGGAGATAGACGAGTTGGCAACTAGCCAGCGCAACGCGTGCCCTTTGGCTCCCGGCAGTGACCTAGATGAGCTAAGGCAATATGGCATTTTGCAGTTGAGATGGGCTGAGTGCATGTCCGTCGGGCCTCCATATAACGAGAGACTGTCAGTGCTTTGGTGGCATGGAAGCCACCATGTTCGCCTTGACTCACAACCTGAATGAACGAGGTAAACTCAAGGTGAACATCGCATCGATAATCGTGGCAGTCACTGGCGCCGACGAGAGGCCTGAACACGAAGGCGAGTGATCACGGCCACTTACCCATGATCACGTGCCGACTGATCACGTGGCGATTCGCCCACGTGGAGGCGGGAGAACAGCTTATACTCTGCGGCCGCATAACTGCCGCTCACGTGACCGCCGACGGCTCCACCATTGGACATCGGCGGATCACGTGATCGCGCGCCTGGCGGCACCGCTACGCCAGGTGGTAACCACTGCACGTGCAGCTGCGGCGGGGTCACCGGCCGTCCCGACGACCGATCCTCATCACTGGGGAGGGGGGGGGGGGGTCTGCCGACTGCTGGGCCCTGTTTCACGGCCGCTGCCAGTTTGCTGCTATCACACCTGTCAAATTGGGTTTCCAGTGGAGACATCAACAGACTCGTATCCCCAATTTTACCACAATCTGTGATGTCAGCTCGCGAAATGCGATAGCAGCGTGGTAGCAGCGTCCAGTGAAAGTTAAAACACAGCCCTGATCGGAGGCAGATAGACCCCGTTTGTGACTGGCAACGTGCCCTGTCTCCAGCGGGCATCAGTAGTACTGCCATCGCTGCCACCCGCCCACCCAGAGCTCACTGTCTGGCTCGCCGCGGCCCGGTTGCGTCATATCGGCTGTCAGAATGACGTCATCTATCGGACGACGTGCGGTGACGTCATGTCGCCGGATGTGGTTACGTGGTAGGCCGGTACCTATTTGTGTGCTCTTCCCGTGGCAGTCGCGGCCAGAACAGTAGCGGCGGAATACCTTCAATTAAAGGGGGGGGGGGGGGGGCACTGCCGACTTTTGGTCCCATTTTTTCCGTGCAACGCCCATAGGGCTAATGTTAAAATGCCAAAATCAAAGGGGGGCACGGTGCCCCGGTGCCCTCCCGGCTCCCCGTTCCGCCGCCTATGGGTCAGAATACGTATGAGACTGAATCCACACGAATAGTAACTTGCAGGAGTTTCGCGACCCCTCCAGTGTAACACGAAATGAATGCCGAATGGCTGCTTTCTAACTCGCCTTTTTGTCACCAATGCACTATGTGATGTTTCGTCTCGAGTCTCGGCACTCCACATTCTGAGCTAGAATCCCTTGACACCCTCTCCTCACTCCCGATTCTTGTTACCGAACTCTGAGAGCTGAGCTGAGTTACCAGAGCAGACTCTGTTGATGTATGTTATGTGTATGCAGGATGACTGGCCGGGGTTTAACCCTCGCCCGTATAGGGGGGGGGGGGTCGAACGGACCCCCCATGGTTTTTCGCGAATAACTCGCGTAAAAAGCGGCCGATCGCGACGAAACTTTCAGTACCCTCGCGTTCATCAATTTCACACCTACCCTTAAAATTTCATGACCCTGACCCAAATGACCTTTGACCTGTGACCTACTTTTCGAGACCATGTTTGGCTGGAATCGCGATTCGGCGTATGTCGGCTCGCATTAGCCGCGCGTTTGCAGTCTTTTCGTGGTTTCAAGCGTTCAAACATGTGATATGATGTTGCCCCCATGCATTAGGGTGGGTGTCAAGGTCACCTGAAGGTCAGGTCGGGTGCGGTTATTTTTTCTCATCTTAGTTTGCTATTTTGGCGTGATTTCGACAATTTCTTGCGCATTCCACTTATTTACTTTAGCGGCCATAGGGCAATGGTTTACTAACGGGAGATGTTATGAATTGCAGCAGCAATACTTGGAACATAAAGAAGTGAAGCAATTATGATGCCTATTATTTTTTATAATGACAGAAGAAGCGTGGAAGAAAAAAACATTTTGTGCAGCATGTGAAAACAAGGAAGTAGAATGAAAGAAGGGCTGCTTATACTTTTCATGCGCCCGAAACCAGCCACCTCATCATCATAGCATGGTAATGCTAGTGTAAGTTAATGTTAAAAAAGAATAGGAGCTGCTTCAAAGGTCTTTGTGATGCCTCAAAGCCGTTAAGTCAAGTCAGGCATGCTCTTACAGACTGAACATTCAAGTTACGAGACCCCATCATACCGATCCAGTGGCTGGTGCTTGAGCTTGTCAAATACCTAAATGTTTTGCTCAGAAATTGTTTGCTTTATTGGTTTCTTGAGTTTCACCAGATAAAGATACAAGGTTGGCTGATTTGGTGTTAGTTATCCATATAAAAGTGCACTGTTTGTGACAAGATTATGGAAATTGTAACCTCAATAATGAAATTTCATGCTGTCAAAGCTATGAGATGTTGCCTTGAGTTTGAAATCAGACATACATGGATTAAAGCTGTTTTCTAAAAAAAAAACTGCTTTTTAGTAACTTTCACCTCATAATTTGTATTTATTCAATCTCAGAATGGGAGCAAGGCTGAATCACAATTATCTTTTGGGAAATGCTCTACAAAACTGCATTGTTTTTATTTCTGTGGCATAATTGTGTACCTAATTCAAAGACTTTCTCTGGTGTAGTTTGTAAGATTGTTTGAACTTCTACTTTCTGACCTGTTTGGTGCCAATAAATCCTGCAACCTATTTGGCTTATTTACCCATCTCTCTTGCCATTTCTACATATTTCATGTCAGTCTTTTGCATAAATATTGTGTAGTTAACATACTTCATGATATACAAATGAATGGTACCTATAGAGGCTCGATGTGGGTAAATGAGAACCAATGCACCTATATTTTTTTTTTTACAATGGCATCAAGTCCTCTTGTCACGGCCATGGATATCACAGAAGATTTTGCTGAACTGCGCAAGAGAATCCTGTGCAAGGAAATGTTTTGCATGATTTAGCTTAACAGCATAAATTTTATTTTCCCAGTTGCATTGGAGCTCTGCTGGAGTTTGCTGATGACAGGATGCTGAAGGGCTGAAGCTGGTAGCTCTGGCAGGAGTCCAGTGTCCACCAGCTCAAGATTTGACGCCGCCGCGTCGCCGCCGTGCGGCACTCCGCGGAGACGGGGACGGCGGTCATGATTGAAGACACCGCATTTCCCGCCTGGACGGTCGGAGACTGGTAATCCCTCCGGTGAGCCGCACACCGTGGAGCTAGTTACTGCACCGCGCGTGTCCACCCGCAGCGCAGTGCCAGCAACAGTGCCGTGAGTGCGACATCTGCGTGCATATGACGCAGTGCGACTGTCACGACTCGCGGCTCAGTGTTCTGTCAGTGTGACAGTGCGGCTCGCGCTCGTTTTAGCGAGGTGCTCTGTTGTATATAACCACCTTGATGGAGATCTATGTGCTGCCGCTTGAGTTTCAATGTACAGTCTTATGCATCAAACTAGCGTAAGTAAATGGCTGTCAGAGGTCAATTTGAAGCGCAATTAGTACCCATAACCCAGCTGGGTTGAGCGAGTCATGTGACTAGTCCCGATGAACGTACCGTAAGGTGGGGCTATTTGAGACAGTGGGGCTATTTGAGACAGTATTTAAAATTACTATAAAATAAAAACCACTTAAAATTTATGCTTAATTTTTTGCTCAGGTGATTTACTGCTCGATTCCACACCTCCCTGAGCAAAAATATCACACAAAAATCAAACGATCTTCATTTTATAGCGATTTTAAATACTGTCTCAAATAGCCCCACTGTCTCAAATAGCCCCACTTTACGGTACTGTTTCGATGTCGTCAGTCGTAGACTTTTGTAAACCATTCGTTTCGGGGCTCTGTGTTGTGTTGTTCGGGACCGCAGTTGGTTGAGCAGTTTGCTTTATGCGTCGTACGCTGACAGAACGCTGATCGTTCACAAGTCATGTGTTTCCTTTCGCCCCTAATGGGTTACTGCGGTACCTATGCAGTTGGAATGTGTCTCGAGACACTAACTGGTTGCACTTGGTTGTGAAAATGACACTAGCTGGTCGCACTTGGTTTCAAGCTGCGCTTGGAAATCGTGCAATTTTATTTGCATTTTGCAATGCAATTTTATTGCCGTTACCGTATTGGTAGATAGTGTCAGACTCAGAAGTTGGCCATTTGATGCGTTGTCACTTGTCAGACGCTGTTGCCTTAGTACTGACAAATTGATGGGCCGCGTTTGTGTTCCTGTTAAACGGATCTCAATATAAGGTGATTCAGAGGTAGGAACCTGAATGCGTTCGTTCAGACTTTTCATTTTATGGGGATGCACTGTTTCATGAGGATGAGCAAGAACGAGCATGGCTCTGGTTGAGCGAAGCGCAATCGATATTTGTTATCGTGTTTGTAGACTGTGGCCACATTTACATCACGCACCAGCATTATTTAAACTGCTTGAACCTATACTTCATTTCGCTAAAATTCGGGGTCATCATCCTACGGTCCGTGGCCGTTACGTTTGGCCAATAACTAGATTTTATACAT